GCCACAACGCCCGGCTAATTTTTGGTTGCAGCCGTCATTGTTGTTTTGGCGGGTCGGGGCTGGGGATTCGAACCCGCCACCTTAGGTGTACGTGGCTGGCGCCCTAGCCAGTTGAGCCACAGGCGCCGAGCCGATTTCTCCATTTTCTTAAAATTTCCCTGATTTCTGTCACACTGGGTTCTTCCTTGATCCATATTTACAGTTCTTTCATCTTCCCCAAGCTCCTGGCCAGTTATGTTTCTATTTATGTTTTATATAGCCCACTAATATCTCAAAATTTTTTTTATCATTCTAGGGAAACTGCTTTTGCTAACACCATCAATGATTTCAAAAGTACTAAATTTAACAAATATAGTTTCAATCCTTATCCAAATGGACTCCTACGACTGATTTGCCATTAGCTGTCCTTCCTCCTATTACTCTATTCTTCTAGTTCTCATGTCATCTTTTCTAATTCTTGAACCTCAACCGTTCTCCCTTAGTTGGTTCCTCTCCTTTTGCCACTTCTTTAAAATCTGACATTCCTTCGAATTCTGTCCACATTCCACTCAATGAATTTGAGTCTCTATCCCAGGTCTGTCCTCTACATTTTACATGTAATAGCCATTTATAATCCCCATCTGGATAACCTACAGAAATCTCAAATTCACGTTGTCTAAAACTGAACTCATCTTGCCCCTTCCTCCTGTATACACAACTTCAATTGGTGTACCATATGTACCTTACCATCCATACTAGGAACCTAAGGTGACTGTTCAGATTCATTCCCCACAACTGGTCAAACATCAGGTCCTGCTGACTTACTGTCTAAACATTTTAACTGCTACTTCCTCTTCATCTCTACTACTGCCCAGCATCTTTTTCTTGAACTACCATGACAAAGACATTACTGTAAAATTCCTAGAATGTTAATTTGTTTATGCAGTTCTTTATCTATCTAAAATCCTTCAATGGCTTTCCATGGTCTTTAGAATACAGGCTATGTATTTAAGGTCTTCTATGATTTAGTTCCTATCTACTTCTCCAGCAAAGACTTGCTTCATGATTTACACACAGGATAATTCCAGTGTTTAATTTTCATTCCTAATCTTGCTCAAACTATCATCAGTATCTGACACAGTTGATAAGACATCATCATACTCTTGGTTTTTTCTACCTTCCCAAATATTCCCTTTCATTCTTCTTTGCTGGTTCCTCTTCTTCCTCTCAATCGCTTTTTTTTTTTTTTTTTTTT